TGTGGGATATAGTTTGGAATAAAAAGTAACTTGCTTTCTCCTAAAATGAATAATAAGCAAATTTAATATAATTTGAGTGGTTTTAAACTATTATTCTATATGGCAAAAAAAAAAAAAAAAAACACATTATTGTGTTCCTATAAATAAGATACGCACAAACTTTGCATATGCAACTATGGAATGTTGATTTGGACATCCACACATGAGGTGTTTTAAGGTCCATGGCGACTTGTCAGAAGATAGGGTTCTCAACCTCCAAGCATCGTCATCATTATTGTGTTCTTAACCTTTGTTTGCAATTAAACATTTTGCCTTTAATATTTGGTATATTTGATAGTATTGTTGGGAATAAAGTTCTTTTCTTCAACACTGACAAACCAAGCAAAAATGATCAACACACCTTTAATAAAATTTCACTTTATATTAATAATGATTTACTAATTAATTTTAATGTGTAATAAATTGCACTTTGTAAAATACGTGGTGAAAGAAAACCCAAGAGGTAGGTGAATCTTTGAATTAGATAGTTGATCCTTCCCTTTGAAGGTCAAACCGGCAGTTGGCTTTGCTATCCCTATATATAACATGCCGAATTTCAATATTTGGTGTATCACTGCCTGCAGCTGCTTGTTCTTCTTCTAGGAAACAATAATGGTGACTGTTGATGAAGTTCGCAAGGCTCAACGTGCCGTGGGACCTGCCACGGTCTTGGCCATTGGCACCGCTACCCCTCTCAACTGCATCCGCCAAAGCACTTACATAGACAGCTACTTCCGCATCACTAATAGCGAGCACATGACAGAGCTCAAGGAGAAATTTCGGCGTATTTGTATGTTTCTTTCCTTTCCATTTTCTGAATTCTTAGTTAGCTTCCACTAAGTGTCTTTTAAACATATATATATATATATATATATATATATATATGCGTAAGGGGCAGGGTTGTCCATATCAACAGTCAAGCTTTGCCAATATGCCATGTCTCTTGGATCTATATCTTGTTTCCATGTTTATTTATGATGGTTGTTTCAAATTTCAGGTGAAAGATCCAACATTGAGAAGCGTCACATGCACTTAACAGAAGACATATTCAATGAGAACCCTAATATCTCTTCATACATGGAACCTTCCCTAAGTGCTAGGCAAGATATTTTGCGAGTAGAGGTACCAAAGTTGGGCAAAGAAGCAGCTGTCAAAGCCATCGCCGAATGGGGCCAGTCCAAGTCCAAAATCACTCACCTTCTATTCTACACAACCTTCGGTGGTGTAGAAATGCCCGGAGCTGACCATCAGCTTATCAAACTATTAGGTCTCCACCCATCTGTTAAACGTGTTGTGATCTGTCAACTAGGATGCCATGCTGGTGGCACTATACTTCGCGTGGCTAAAGACCTAGCAGAGAACAACAAGGGGGCTCGTGTCCTGGTTATTTGCTCGGAGATTAGTGACGTTGCTTCATTTCATGGACCTAGTGAAAGTTGCCTGGATAACCTCGTCGGTCAGGCCTTATTTGGTGATGGTGCGGCAGCAGTTATTGTTGGGTCGGACCCAATACCTGAAATTGAGAAGCCCTTGTTTCAATTGGTATCAGCATCCCAAAGTATCTTGCCAGAGAGTGATGGAGCAATTACCGCCAGTATGCAAGAAGCTGGGCTTATATTCCACCTTGACAAGTGTATTCCTACGATAGTCTCCAACAATATTGAGAGGAGCCTAGTGGAGGCATTCCAGCCTTTAGACATCATAGATTGGAACTCCATTTTCTGGATTGTGCACCCAGGAGGTCGAGCTATATTGGACGAAGTGGAGGCCACGTTGGGTCTTAAGCCTGAAAAGCTCCGCGATTCAAGGCATATTTTGGCTCAGTACGGCAACATGTGGAGTGCATCTGTGCTATTTGTTTTGGATGAGATGAGGAAGAAGTCAGGTGAAAATGCGCTCAAAACTACAGGAGAAGGACTTGAGTGGGGTGTGCTCCTTGGGTTTGGACTTGGGGTGACAGTTGAGACAGTGGTCCTTCATAGTGTGGCTATTTAATTAAATTAGATGGCATGTTGCTCCTAATTAAGTTTCCAGAGTATTAAAAGTGAAGACCTTAATTAATTCCTTGAGCTATCAAGGATTTAATGTTGTCTTTTATCGAAAATAAGAAATAAAGAATATTAGAATTATGAAGAGTGA